GGAAAAGCTCAGTAGGTCTGGCAGCATCCGTGAAGAAAAAAATCAGAATTAATGTTTCGGGTCCTGGTCCTCAGTTCTGAGGAACGGTCACAGGACCAGAAACATTAACTCTGATTTTTTTCTTCAGATGCTGCCAGACCTGCTGAGCTTTTCCAGCAACTTCTATTGTTGTTCCCGATTTACAGCATCTGCAGTTCTTTTGGTTTTTATATTAATACTTTCCATTCAAATCCCTCGCTGCCAATGTCCTGGAGGTCAACATTGAGCAGAAACACCCCATAAACACAAAAGCAGGTCAGAGGGTAAGAATACTGCAGTAAATAACTCACTCCCTGACTCCCCAAAGCCTATCCACCATCTACAAGGCACAAGCCAGGAGTGTGATGGAATACTCCCCACTTGTCTGGATGAGTACAGCTCCAATGCCACTCAAGAAGCTCGACACCATCCAGGACACAGCAGCCCATTTGACTGGCACAACATCCGCTCCCTCCACCACCGACACAAAGTATACACTGGTGCTACTATAAGATGCCCTGCAGAAATTCACCCTAGATCCTCAGACAGCACCTTCCAAACCCACGATCACTTCCATCTAGAAGGATAAGTACAGCAGATTCATAGGAACACCATTACCATCAAGTTCCTCTCCCAGCCACTCATCATCCTGACTTGGAAATATATTATCATTCCTAATAGCGTCTCTGGGTCAAAGCCCTGTAATTCCCTCCCTCAGGGCATTGTAGGTCGACCCACAGCAGATGGACTGCAGTGGTTCAAGGTGACACCACCTTCTCAGGGGCAACTAGGGACAGGCAATTAATGCTGACCCAGCCAGCCACACCCATGTCCCATAAGTGAATAAATACTCTCAAATTCAGTGAATAAAAATACTGCTGCTGGGAGACTGAAGTAACAACAGGATGAGCTAGAGAAACTCAGCAGGTCTGGCAGATCTGTGGAGAGAAAACAGATTTAACAGTTGGAGTCCAGTGCAATTTCTTAAGAACTCCAAAACAATCTGAAGAGGAGTGGTGTTGGGTTTCAAACTTTATTAACTCTGTTTCTCACTCTCCACAGACACTGCCAGACCTGCTGAATTTCTCCCGAACTTTGTGGCTTTGTTTCAATGTTAAATAAGGTATCTTTACAACTTGATAGAGAGATAACACCATCATCTGTATGTTCGCCTCAAAGCAATACTCCTGGATCTGGAATTATATTGCTGCAGTATTTCTCCATAGGCACTAGCTCAATATGCTGATGTTCCCTCATTAATAACTGCGACCCTCCACCCATATAGCAGTTGAAGGCAGCAGCACCATGCTCTTAAGGGCAATTGGAGTGTGCCAATAAATGCGGACTTTGGCAGCAATAATATATCATATGACTGAATAATAAATGCTTTTGGAAGCATTATTACTTAGCCTCAGGGTACCAGAGGATTACAAAGGTCCCGTGTTATCACTGATGTTGGCTGAAGGACCAACAGGTGGTGGTAGTCCTTTAATACCGCGATCACATTGCTGAAAGAGCTGGACATTTTCATGGATACATTCATGAGATGTTCCAATGTTGACAGGATTTCATAATGTAGAGGATTCCCTGAACAAGGAAAATTTGTGGTTTATCAGAAACCACTTGACCTTTGAAAAACATAGAAAGTCAAACTGTTCACTGCAGGTGGTCATTCAGCCCATTGTGCCTGTACTGGCTCTTCAAAGGAGCTTCAAAGGAGCATCAGTACCTAGTGCCAGTCTGCTGCTTTATCCCAATCCATTTATAGACTATTTCTATCCAAGTAATCATCCAATGCTCTCATGAATGCCTCAATTGAACCTGCCTCCACCATATTTTCAGGCAGTGCGTCCCATAGCCTAAATATTTGTGGCATGAAAAAAATTCTTTCACCACTGTTGCTTCTTTTGCTGACCATTTTAAGTCTATGCCCTCTGATTCTTGTTCTTTTCACACGTAGGACAGACACTGATTAACCTAGAGTGCTCTTCCTGCTCCTCTTTGTAGGAAAGTTAACCTTTTAATCAAAACTAATGGTCATATCTCAGCCTTGATGACTTTGTTAGGAACTTCACAGCAGTAGACCAGGAGTGCTTCAGTTTCAAGACAGCAGGTATTGATGTGAATAAATGAGCATGGGATCTGATGGCTAAGGGTTCATAAATTGATCCCCAAAGCAAATATAGTATTAAATAGTTGAAGCTTCATCTTCAACCAATGGAGATAGTCACTTTCTTTTAAAAAGGAGGAACACTTAACCAAGTGGATACCACATGAACACGACCAAATACTGTTGAAGCTTAACAGGACTAAATCCTCTTCAGTGAGGCTGTGTTGACAAAGACAGGGGCAAAAATGCAAGAACATGACTAAACAAAGTCATCCTGATCCACAGTGAAATGGACAAGCGATAACTTAGAACTAAGGAATTCGAATCCTTGAAATCATTGATTTTTCCTTGCTGAGATGGGCTAATCTTATTTATGTATGGAGATCAAAGGGGAAAGATAGAGACATTCAGGTTGAACAAGATCAAATGGGAGAATAAGATAATATATGCTGGAATTTAATATTCAATATCAATTCCACCCACCAATTGGAGAACCCATGGGAGTCCCCTGTCTCTTCCGAGACACTCACAATTGGTCAGTGTCAGATCACTCTTTGATCCAAGACCCTTGGTATTGTAGTTGTATCTCCAAGGGCTTCTGGCTAATCAGAAGTTGGTAGTTCCATGAGATCATCACTGGATCCCTGGAATCAGGAAAGAGAGAGTAGGTAGGATCATGGAATGTCACGAGAGAGGGTTGGATGGGGTGGGATAGTCAGAGGTAAGGACTAGCTTGGTTTACAATGGTTAGCCTCTCTCTCCTGAAGCCAGGTCCCCAGGTGCCTTTCAAAGCGTGACCCTACCTAGATGACTATGGAAAAGACAAAAGGTTTGCCTAGCGTCCTTCTGGATCAGGGGACATGCCGTTCTACTCTCACTTGCTGAGCCACTGATGATGAGTGGGGCTCAGGAATGATTGGTTCAGAAGTGAGCCTGACTGACATCCTGCTGTTGTTACAGGAGACTCCCACAGGCCCATTCCCTACCTCCCTTGGGAGACTGATGTACAGCCTGGCCCATTGTGACATGGGTCCAGCATTAAGGGCCCTCATTATGACAGGTGTATGAAATCCTGTGTGTTGTCACATCAAGACTCGAATTGAATAGAAATTTATTGTCATGTGTACTCTTACGTGAAAAATACAGTGAAAAGCTTTATAAGTTGCCCCACCTCTGTACCTACATTAATGACAGAAGCCACACGTAATAATAAAGAAAGAAAGTTAAATTAAGACAAAGCGCATCACCGCTCACTAGCGGCTGCTGGGCATGGGGAAAGCTGATTAAACGCGTGTCCTCCAGAGGGGGCAAAGTGATTGTGAAGTATGAGAAATGTAGCAATACAGAACAGGATAAAGGACATCTTCGAATAAAAATCCTAAAACTGAACTTTATTTGTTTCAGCATATTTTCATTATTCATATTATTTTGCATAGTTGTATAAAGATAAAATACGTCAAAATAATTAAAGTACCACTACATTGGAATCCTGTCAAACAGTATAGACCAGGATAAGAAAAACAGTTGCTCATATGCAAACTTCCTTACAATAGAATAGGTTACATTATTAATACACTGATTATTTAAGGAGAGAACTGGGGACGTGGTGACAAGTTGAATGGCAAAATATTGCCAAGGACCCATTTAGATGGAGTTAATGGATGTACATTTGTGCTTCATTAACAGGATAGTATTTCAACATATTTTCAAATGTGCTATCACAGTCAAGCTGCAAATGAGTACTTCAGTAAACTTTTCAGGATAATGAATAGTTTTACACAAAAATATTTAAACAGGGTGAGACGTAAGAAAGAGTTTTCTGAATTCTAAGCTGCTATCTGGTTCCCTCCATTTCCACAATTTTCAATGTGCTTTTATATAACTGACAGTCAATGCACTGGGTGAACAGCAAACAAAATTTCTGTACACAAATTTTTCTGAAAAAGAAAACAAAATAAGAATGGCAAGACATTTTCTTCTTGAAAATCTAGTGCAGACAGTGAGGAATGACCTAAATAAATTTGCCTGTAAAACGTGAAGCTTGTTTAAGTAAAACATGGAAAGCATACATTTCAAATGTACCATGGCCCAGTGTATGTGTAATGAACAGAAACATGTTAAAACAAAATATAATGGCAGCAGTGTCAATTTCAGAACTAATAAAAGGAGGGATCTCTGGTCTCAGTTTTTTTATTTTATCAATTATAAAACAGTTTGCAAAGAAATATACTCCCGTAGAATAGAAATCCGAATCTATAGCCTACATCAGAGCAGCAAATCAGCATCCCAAGGTAACTATAGTACACTAATCCTCCCCTTCTACAGTACTCAGCAGAATCCCCACTTTTTAAAATAATAAGTTTCAGAATCTCACTTACAAAAGGAGAACTTGAATCTCTATAAAACCACAAATTTTAAACTTCATTTGTAAACAGTCCTTCAAAACTGTTCACAAATTATGTCAGAGAGTAATGTGGTAACATTCCCTACTCAATGCAGTCTCATGTAGACCATACTGCTATCAGTCCAGTTCACTTGCCTTATTGGCAGACTACTTTCTAAGAATTTCAACTTTAAACAATAAAAATCAAGATTAAATTTAAAGTGAATGACTTATCTTTTCTAAAATAGATTCTGCTGTTTGCTATATTTTGAATGCTGAGTCTTACAATGACACAGGGCATGCGTTTAAGTTTGGGCTGGGTGATGCTATCTTAATTTGTGACTTTGGTTTAAAGGTGCAAGATTTGTACACTCAGATCAGAGGAAGAAAACATTTCTGTGAATTATTTACCATGTTTTCTAGGTTTGTACTAGTCTAATGTACTTGGTGTGCAAGCAATTACAGTTCATTATGGACTGTGTCTTAGTGCATTGTGAACATAAGATAGATATTAGGAGAAGCCTAAACTGAACATTCAATTAAACTAAGATTTATTAATTTGAAGACATTGTTTATCTGGCTGGAAATGTATGTATTAAATGTTACTAGCTATTTATTTTATTTCAGTAGTGGCTGGCATGTAGGGAACTGTGGCTGCATCACCAGAACATAAACTGGGAAAATCTAAACATTGCTTGTTTTAAAAGGAGCAATTAGAAATTACGAGAGTTGGAACACATAAATTAACAAACTTCTTCACAAGCTGTAAAAATACAAAAAGGTAAGTGCGCTTTGAAATGCATAAAGTTATGGAACAGTAAAATCTACAATCTATACGCATGACACTGTTGTTAGAGATTACTCAATCATTCAGTAAAGGATGTTCTATACAGCTGAGGTACAGTATTATAGGTTCATCCTCTACAGTGAAAAATCACCCTTTTCAAAGCAGAACATTTTAATTGATAATTTTAGTTATAATCCTATGAGAAAAGTTAAAACACTAAAGTGCATATTCTTTAAAAAGTTGCTAAATTTCAAAAATCAAAACATGAAATGAGTGTTAATTTCAAATAATGATAATAAAATAGCTTTGATGAACTCCAAAATTATACTAAACCAACTTGGAGCCTACAGCTTTACCTTCCAGTTGTGGGAGCTGTGGTGGCAGGAAGGTAACAGCACCGTCAGTGGCATCATCTCAAAATGGATCTAATGATAATTGTGTAAGAAAGTAATTGTAACTATAGTCAGTTGTATTGGTGGGGTTGGGGGTCGGGTGGTCAAGAAAGGACAGAGTCGGGGTGGGCGCAGTGAGAGAAAGGAAAGGGAGGGAGAAAAGGCAGAAGGGGGGTGGAGAGAGAGAGCGCGAGAGAGACAAAAGGATAAAAGGATAGAAGGATAGTCTTTTCCTCTAAACAATTTAGTTTCCTGTATCAAAATATCAACATCCAGGAAGTTTACTGAATGCAATTATTTCTCAATTTGAAATGGGATCCTAAAACGTGTCCCCACTATTAGTTTCAGAAAAAAATTCTTAGAATTTGGGACTCCACCAGGAATTAATCCCCTTTATTCAGCCAACCATATTATTGAATGTTAATAACCTATCTTCTCAGAAGCTAGTAAATGGTTTGTGTCATTCAGGGTCCTGCAGTCTTTGTTAAAAGTTAAGGTGCATGATTTGAAGATAACTACATTATTATCTCTCCCACTAAGGCCCCGTTGTGAAAACAAATCAGACAGCAGGTTTGGGTTTCACTACCACAGCAAGGAAATGATGTTTGTAAAACATCTAAGATTGGTGGTGCTGCCATTAAGCTAGCTAGCTCCTTTGCAACACCAGCCAGTGTGAGCTGCTTCTAAATGCTCCTAAGGTGCTCATATGGATAGAACCAATAGCAGTTTTGCTATGGAAGCTATTCCAGGATTTTCCACTGATTACACAAATGATCAACTACCAAGAGGGTAAGGTGTATAGATTTGCAAGTCCTATGCTGCTTTTGGATTAGCACAACTCACTATCACAGCAATCATTTACAAATTCCTGATTAACTATTATATTTCCTTCCCTGAACACCAAAATAGATACCCCTTTCAAAATACAAGTGATGTGTGCAGAATAGACAGCAACTTCAGTGTGAAATGAAAATGCCATGTTGCATGTTCAAATTTTCAATAAATCATTTTAAACTTTGGGCAGTAGGGTGAAATCTGCCTTTACCCAAACAGTTAAGGAAACAAAAATGGAGACTTAATTCCCAATTAAACCATAAATACCTCCCATAAAAAGGTAGTATATTTTAGTTGTGGCAAAACAAAAAAAAACAAAAAAAAATCTCTAAAAGGAAGCTTGTTAACATTGCTGTGAATCATTTTTTAGTTAATGACTGGGCTTGCTTGACCTCTTAGGAGATGGAAAATATCTGGAAAAGCATTTCTGTGGAATACAAATTAATGACAATCCCTGCCTTGCACAATGTAAAAATAAAGCTATTTTTAAATAATCAAATCATGGTCCACCACGTCTGTGAAAAGAAGTAGTTCCTGCATCAACATTTTCAAAATGGCGACATGAGCAGCAAAACAGAACCGTTCGCCTTGGGAGCTGTTATACAGATCAGGGATATGCTGCTCCTTATTGAATGACACCTTGCCATATCATGGAATGCCCCAGCTAAAGAAACATAGGTTTACTTTAAAGCAATTTCTATATAACTTCTGGTCCTGCATTATTGAGCTTGGATTGGGAAGCATCTGTGTCTCTTGTGCAGTTTTCAACTGGCTCGGCATCATTTTCCTTGGGGATTTCATCAATGTCTTCCTCTTTCCTCTCCTTCTCTTGGGAAGAGAGGACTTCCACTATGTGCAGTTTGGTCTGCTCTTCTTTCAGGAAGAGATCCACCAATAAAGACTTCTCTTTAGACATGCGGTCACTGATTTCCTTTGGAATGTCTGGGATCATCCAGTCCACAAAGTCACTCATAAACATAACTAGGTTCTACAAAGACACAGGAGAGGGTGCAGTTAGTAAACCTGTACATTAGATTCAGGAGCATTATATAGCAGAATTCATAAACTATATTTGTACATCTCAATTCCGATCAAAATCTGAAATTCTGACATCAAGTGCTTCGCAATTACTCAGTACAAATATGCTTTTGGTGTATGTGTCAAATTAAACTAGTAAAATCAGCTGTAACTCTGATAGCAATTCAAGATGCTATTAGCTGTTACATAGAGAGTGAGAAAAAGGTGGGGGGGTGGGTGTGGAGTTAAAGAACAGTGGGCAGCACGATGGCTCAGTGATTAGCACTGTTGCCTCCCTGTGCCAGGGATCCAGATTCAATTCCACTCTTGGTGACTGTCAATGTGGAGTTTGCACATTCTCCCCGTGTCTGTGTGGGTTTCCTTCAGCTGTTCTGGTTTCCTCTCACAATCCAAAGATGTGCAGGTTAGGTGAATTAGCCATGCTAAATTGTAGTATCTAGGGATGTACAGGCTAGGTGGGCGAGCCTTGGGAAATATAAGATTACAGGGATAGGGTAGGGGAGTGGGTCTGGGTGGGATGCTCGAGCGTCGGCATGGACTTGATGGGCCAAATGACCTGCTTCCACACCGAAGGGATCTAACAAGGTGAGAATTGAAGAGACCAAAATAACAAGGAGGCGCATCCACATGTAAAACAGTGGGCAATTGTTTTATTTTAAATTCAAATTTGGCTGTTTGAGGAAAAACAATAAGTTGAAATTTGGATAGGGCTGTAAAATTGATAGGACATTGAAAATTAATTAGGAATAAGAGCTAGCAAGGAAAGGTAGACTGACAAAAATCTGAGGGGGAGCCTGGTGAACAAGGGGAAGAAAAATGAGTTCAGCAGTCAAAAAGGCCCGAGTGTATGGCAGGGAGCATTTGAAACAAAATCAAAGTAGGTCCAGAAAGTGAGTCACTGGTGAAGATATGGGACTGAAGAGGAGATTGGAGATTCGGGAATATATCTGGGTTATTGAGCCAGAAATAGGAAGGGCTCTCTTATTTCACTATGATAACATGAAAAGGGTGGTGAAAGGAGCTGATGTAGGGATAAAACACAAGAATAAACTAGAAAGTAAGTTTTATTATATCCTAACTTTGTAAACGAGGTATTTGTCTCTGTGCTGCCTCACTGCAAGGAACGATCCAAAGCAAATCCCAGCATCTGCCCATGGTTCTACTTGGAATCTGAATGCAGTAATCAGTCACTATGGGAGTACACTGACACCTACCCCTGCAAAAAAGGAACACTCTTTCTTCATTTCCTCCTTTTTCATTTTCTCCTTTTTCATTTTAAAAAAAATTGTTCATTGCTATGAATTTGAGCTGAGATCAAAATAATATTCACTCCATCAGAAATCTTCACAATTTAGGAGAGAACTAATTTCTTCTTGGCTGCCTTTGCTTCAGAGAACATTTTGAATAGAGACTTTTTAAAGTTAACTATATGGGGTTTTATCTGGCATCACCCTGATTAAAAAGCTTTTAAAAATTTAACGAGCTGTGGTGATTCAGCAGCTAGGCCATCATTTATTGTCCACCCCTAACTTCCTGGGAAGCCATCTCCTTTATAAGACACTGCATTGGTCTACCATTTCAGAGAGCAGTTGCGAGCTTGCAACATTGCTTTGGGTTTGGAATCATCTGGAGTTACATGGAGATCAGACCAGGTAAGAAAGGCAGATTTCTTTCCTTAAGTCAGTGAACCAGATGAGTTTTTATGACATCCCAGTCGATACATGGTCCCATTATTGATACTAGATTTTTATTGCAAGTGTAATGGAGTAACTAAATTAAAAATGGATAGACTTTGAGCTTTGACTCCAGATCATTAACCCAGGCCTCTGGTTTACTGATCCAGTCGTGTGATTATTACGCTATCATTCTGAAACAATGGACATTGAAAAAAAATTATGTATGCTCAGCTACCTAAAACTGTAAAATTTAACCGTAATCAAATTAATATTTTGGGTGAATTCTTCATTTTGCTTCTGCTTTATGTCCCCATTTAAAATACAAAACACAAATTCCTTATGGCTTTATGTATCTGGATCTGCAAGTTTTCATTTTTTTGAACTTCTAGGTCTCCATAGAATAACACAAGGGAATAGAATAAGACATGCTGCCTTCCATTTATTCCTAATAATTTACAAACTGACACCCATCACCATTCTGGTAATCCATTTCTCAAAATAAATACAATGCACATTTTACAACAGTAACAATCAAAGATTGGAGTGGGAGAAATGGGTTTGAATTCATGGAGTACTGGGTAAGGAGGAACCTGTTTGGTCTGGCCCTTGCATGAATCACATAACCAGGGCTGTTAAATTGAAGTAGGGGTGGGGGCTAGGTTCAGTTGCATAGGAAGTTCCAAAATCAAAAAAAGTAAAGAAGGTAGGATTTCAGGATGGTGATGGGGTTGATTGGTATCAGAAACTAAAAGGAAGGGACAGAATGTGCAAATGTCACATTGCACCAAGACAACAGCATTGGGAAATTTGTAATGCAACAAACTTAAAGGCTGCATTGAGATACATTCAGAATAAAGGCAGACAAACTGACTGTGCAAATCAAGATAAATGATGATGATCTCACAGCCATTACGGAAACATGGTTACAAGATGATCAAAACTGGGAACTTAGCATGTGACCTTTCAGAGACACAGGAGGTATGGAAAAAGGTGGTGGGGTAGCACTATTAATAAGGGATGAAATTAGGACAGTTGTGAGCAATGATCTAGACTCAGATAACATAGTCCAGTTGGACCAAAAGTAAAAATCAGCAAGACAGCATTTGGTAGGAGAGTTTAGACCCCTAAACAATAGCTACTCTGTAGGAAAGGCTATAACTCAACAAATAATAGAAGCATGTAGAAAGAAGAGAGCAATTTTTATGGGTGACTTTCATTATGTTGATTGAGTTCATCAAATTGGAGATGGTAGACATGACAAATTCAGAGTATATTAAGGATAGTTGCATAGAGCCAACCAGGGAGCCGACTATCTTGGCTTTGCTAATGCGTAATGGGGCAGGACCCTGCAGTAAAAAATCTCCCAAGGAAGTACTGATCATCCCATGATAGAATTTAACATTCATTTTGAGAGTGAGAAACTTGGGTCAGAAACAACAGTGTTTAACTTCGATAAAGGGGAATTGCAATAAAACAAGGATAGAGCTACCTAAAGTGAACTGGGCAGATAGATTTACAAGAATGACAGTAAGCAAGTAGTAGCAGACATTTAAAGAGGTAATTCATGACTCTCCACAAAAATACATCGCAGTAAGAAGGAAGGAAAGATTCCAAGAGGGAGAAACCAAATCATGGCCAGCCAATAAACTAGGAAGAATGTCAAGTTCAAACAGAAAGAAAAAGCAGGAGGCAAAGTCTGTGAAAGCCCCAAATACTGGGATAAATTTAAAATCCAAAGCTTTAAAAAAATAATAAAGACAGAAAATAAATTACAAGGAATGTAAAAACTGACAATCAAATCTTTAAAATATGAGAGTGGTCAAAATGGACATAGGCCCCTTAGAGAATGAATCTGGGAAGATGGTAATGGGGAACAAGGAAACGACGCAGGAGTTCACCAAATAGTTTGTATCAGTCTTATGGTGGAAGATACTTCAAACATTCCATTAAGTACCATCACCATCACTAAAAGTAGTAATATTAGGCAAAATAATTAGGCTAAAGGCAGACAAGTTCCTTGGCCTCAAGGCTTGCATCGTAGGATCCTAAAAGAGTGATAGCAGATACATTGGCCGTACTTTTCCAAAAATCCTTGGATTCTTGAGAAGTAAAGAGGATTGGAAAACTACCAAATGACACTAATTCATAAAAGGCAGGCAGGCAGGCAAAAAGTGGGTAACTATAGGCTGATTAGCCTAATATCTATTGTCGGAAAAGTACTAGAATCCATTATAAAGGAGGTAGCGGAACAATGTTTGGAAAATCATGATCTCATCAAGCAGAATCAGCCTGGCTTCATGAAAGTGAAATCATGTTGGACTAATTATTAGAGCTTTGAGGAAGTCTCAACCAGAGTGGATAGAGCGGATCCAGTAGATGTGTTGTGTTTGGACTTCTAGAAGGTATTTGATAAGGTACCTCATAAAGGGTTAAATTATAAGATAAAAGTCAGTGTGTTGGAGGTAATATATTGGCACAGATAGAAGTTTTGCTAATAGGCATGAAACAGTGAGTGGGGATAAGTAATTCTTTTTTTCAGGTTGGTGACCCTTGACCAGTGGGATTCTGCAGGGATCAGTGCTGGGACTGCAACTGTTTACAATGTATATTAATGACTTGGAGGAAGGAAGTGAAGTGAATGCATTGTAGCTACATTTGCAGACAACACAAAAATAGGTGGAAAAGCAGGTTGGGAGAGGGATACACAGTTTACAGGGGAATATCAGTAGGTTACATAAATGGGCAAAAAGTTGACAAATGGAATATAATGTGGGAAAATGTAAAGTTGTTTATTTTGGAAAGGAGAACAAAAAGGTTATTTAAATGGAGAAAAACTGCAGAAAGCTGCAACACAAAAGGGACTTGGGGGACTTGTGCATGAAACACTAAGCTAGGACACAGGGACAGTGGGTAATCAGGAAGGCGAGTGGAATGTTGGCCCCTTATTTCAAGGGGGTTGGAATGTAAGAGTAGGGAAGTCTTACAGAAACTACACAAGGTGCTGATGGGACCACATTTGGAGCATGAGAACAGTTTTGGACCCTTATTTCAGGAAAAAAAAAATCATTTTGAAGGCAGTAGTTCGGAGCAAGTTCACTAGAATGATCCTGCAAATGGAGAGACTGTCTTATGAGCAAAGGTTAAAACAGGTTGGGACTGTATTCATTGAAGTTTAGAAGAATGAGAGGTGATCTCATTGAAACATGTGGGGTTCTTTAGGAGCTTGACAGGGTAAATGCTGAGAGGATGTTTATCCTCATGGGAGTGTCTGAGACCAGAGGGTGTAGTCTCAGAATAAAGGGGCACCAATTTAAGACTGAGATGAGGAGGAACTTCTTCTCTTGAGGGTTGAGTGTCTTTGGAACTCCTTGCCTCAGAGCTGGGGGGCAAGAGTCTGTGTCTATTTAAGGCCGAGGTAGATTCTTGATCAGTCGGGGAATCAAGGGTTACATGAAAGGGTAGGAAAGTGGACATAAGGAATGTTGGATCAGCCATGGTGCTATTGCCCATTTAGTTAATTATTAAAATCTCTCTAAACTGTATGTATCCCCTTCTCAACCTGCCTTTCCACCTATTTATGGTCTTCCTATTTAGTTATAGTAAATGACAATTGTCACGGATGAGATAGAAAGTGGCTAAAGAGATCAGCAAGGAGTGGGTTAATCCAGGCAGCTAGTTAACACTGTTGCCCCTCTGCTGCCACCTTGGGAAGAAGTGGGAAGCTTCAATAAAAAGCACAACCACTCCACCTGTTGTTAATGATAGCCTCAAGCAAGAAAAATGCTAAAGCACAATTTTCAATGCAGTGCCCCCTGCCGTCTCTCACTAAATGAGAGGGAGAGGGAGAGGGAGAGGGAGAGGGAGAGATGGTTTATGTTTTATGTTTTAACCCTCCTCCTCAAAGATAGAAACTGAATCTGCCCATATTCCCTCAAGACCCTTTGAGAGGGAATTACAGGCCATCAACACCAAGTACAGTAAACCAATAGGGGCAGAGCTTCAAATCACTTACCTGAAAAATGATGACAAAAGCCAGTCTGGCTGCTAGCACAGACCAGAACTCTTTTGACAGATCATATGGTTGAGAAGACCATGGAGGCTCTCTGTAATCTTTATACCTATAAAGACAAGTTTAAATGGCAAATGTTCAACACTGGTTTTTCCTAGATGGCGATGTGTTGGGATCATTGATTATAAGACCGTATTGTTGGTTTCAGTAAAGATCCACTACAATTATTGGAAGCAACAGGGGAATTTGATTAATAAGAAACGTGCTTAGGTCTGCTTTACATGAGGGCAAATCTTGCATACATTCTTCTAACTGTAATTTGTATGGAAAGAACAGAACAAAATTGAGGAGACAAAGGATAAAACGTGCTTTTTAAATATTGTTAGGGCAGGGGCAGTTAGATTTTTGAATTTTGTTGGGGGGATGTTGGGAAGAAGGGTGAAGGATTTTGGGGATATACAGGACTGTAGACTTGAAGTTAAACTCAGATCAGCCATGGTCTCCTTGGTGGAGCAGGCTCAAAGGGCTGACTACCGTACTCTTGTTCCCTGTTCATATGTTTGATTATTTTCCATATAGTTTCAGCAGGCAAACCCAATTTATCAAATTTTACTTCACTATCTGCCTATCAATTACTAACTCAGTATTCCAACAGACTGAAAACAAAAATGCCAGAAGCAGATAGCATCTATGGAGAGAGCACAAACAAATTTGTTCCTACATTGCATTTATTCCAATATAATTTTATAATCAGTTTTATAACAAGTTTTTTTTTTAATAATTGTAAGTTTTATAATCCCTTGTACGTTGAATGGAAAAAAACTGATGACATGGGAGGTGCTGGTGTTGGATTGGGTTGCACAAAATCAGAAGTGACACGACACCAGGTTATCGTCCAACAGGTTTATTTGAAATCACAAGCTTTTGGAGAACTGCTCCTTCGTCAGGTGGGGCTGTGCTCCGAAAGCTTGAGATTTCAAATAACGCAGATGGGCTATAACCTGGTGTTATGGGGAAAGCAAAATGAAGCAGTGAGCCAGGTTATCAATGATTTCAATTGCATTTGATAACACATGGTTAACAGTTAGAGCGAACACCTTTGACCAAGTGTCTGGTTCACAATAAAATAGGGTGGTAATGAATATGTCTTTAATTTTGGTTTTATTACAATTAGGTGTTGAAAATCTGGTGGCTCTCTTTCAGGTAGTGAATTGCAACAGGAAAAACCTGGTCTGAAGCAGCTCGAGTTGAGAGAAATTCTACCTGCAGATCTCAACCTTGTATCCCATTGCCATTGGATCAGGAGGCTCTGATCCTGGCTCGAAGTGGCTGACATTGAAATAGGACAATGTGTTATTGGTGAATCCATGCAGCGTGCCGTCTGGGCTGTACAAGTACATGAAGACAAGGCGTGGGATGAAGCCAGAGGTGAACGAGATCACAAATGCCTGCACAATGGAAAATGAAGAATTGAACACTGTTGTCTTGTGATGTGACCAAATAAAAAAGGTGAATGAAGACAGACTGAACAAAAAAAACTCGAGAGCTCATGCATCACATGTAAAATTGTAAACATGACCAACAGTATTTAAACAGATTGTCAATCTAGACACCCCAGCACACGCTACACCTAAAGTACAAATAAATAAATAAATAGAAGTGATGCTGCAAAGATCTGTTACTCAAACCAGTCAATACTTACCTTCTACAGTGAAGAAACTCTCTGAATCACTTTCCCACCTTAAACCTCCAATGACCAATTTAATGTGCAATGTTAGCCCAGTTCATAGATCCACCAGAACTGTTGGATCCACAGAAGCTTCTATTGTTAGCTGTAAGAGGCTTGAAACAAGGTAAGTCCCCAGGCAAGAACTCTTGTACTTGATCCCTCAACTACTGGTAATCGTCTGCTTCTATTTTTAGAGATTAATCTGTTGCTTTGCATTGTTCTGTAGAATTATTTGAAACTTTTCCAAGTCTTTTACCTTTCTCTATGTCAGACAGTATCCCTGCAAATCAGTATTATCTCCATTCTTTTGTAAGGTTACTAATTTTCAGGAAGAAGAAACAGCACTGACTATATTTACCTATTCCTACTCCCAGATCCTTTCAACCACTTCTTTTATCCAGCTGTTCAAAAGGATCTGTCATGCTGATAGCTACCACCTCAATCCCTGGGTTGAAGGTTCATTAGACTTGATTCCTGGGTTGTGAGGGCTGTTGGCAAATGCAGACCAGATTTGGTGACTAAATAACAGGCACACTGGGGTGGAGACAAAACGTTAATTTAGGAAAGGATACCAGAGCGGCAGTAAAATAATGCTGTCAGAAGGAAATAAACAAACAAGCAGCCTCAATATCAAATCAAAAGCCTATTCTCCATGATATCAATATAAATCAAAAGAAAAGTCTGAACAGTAAACACAACAGGAGACCAACATAGAGAGAAAGTTCGAGGAGGATAGGACAAGACAGGCAAGCAGGGGAAGGGGGAGAAGTATGTTGGAAATGGGAAATGAGAGGTGTGGGAATCAAAGAGCAGACAAGGAACGCTTCATGCAAACAGATGAATGCATCAATGTTGCTATAGTCGAGAAAAATATTGACCATTGCTTTGAAACAATTATGGCAGATGCATATAGTTAATTTTAGTTTTGAATATCTAGTACAAATTATCCAAATGTCAAGGTAGAACAGCTTCCTAGTCACTTCAATTTGTGAAATGTCTCTTTCCATTCATTTAACCTGGAATCTGAGTAGAGAATCAGAAAATTGGTGGGGAAATTTCAAAAAGGAGCCTATTCCTGCCAATTAAAATGTAGTTAAACCGCTCTGAAAACCTGCTTTTGGTTTAAACCCTTGTTTGGCTTGGATTTTTAAAACTGAAATCCCCTCATGGGACGTGGGCGTCATGGCTATGCCAACATTTATTACCTTCTCCAGGGCAATTAGGAATAGGCAATGATGAACTGCCTTCTTATACAATCATACAGAAGTGTCCTTTGAGCCCATCAAGTCTGTACCAGCAACATTACACAACTACCTAACACTAGTCACACTTTCCAGCACTAGACCAATAGCCTGGATTGTTATGTTGTGCTCATCAAGTACTTTTTAAAGGTTTGAGGGTTTCCTGTTTCAACTACCCTCCCAGGCAGTGCACTCCAGACCCTCAAATCTCTCTAAACCATCTGCCTTCAGTTTAAAAGTGAACTGCTACAATCCATTTGATGGAGGAACAATATTGAACCATAATGAGTTATATTTGTTGCTTATGATTTTGACATATTTTCAATATTAAGTATTTATGTATTGGGTCAACATCCTGGAACTCCCCAACAGCATTGTGGGTCACGGCAGCAGCTCACCATCACCTTCTCAAGGGCAACTAAGGATGGGCAATAAACACTGGCGCAACCAATGATACCTACATGCCAAGAGTTAGCAACATAAACAAGAAATATAACTATGGTTAATATCTTTGTTATCAGATGGTTTATTTCAAAAATATTTGAGATCCTGGGTGCTGATGGGATTAAATATTCCTCATCAGTTTTAAATGTTTTATTGATTCAAATTGCAAATGAGAGACAGTTACATAGCAGCACTATCAGATGTCTTGTGAGGAGATGAGTGATGTGTGCAAAGTCTATAAAGTTGCAAAATGTTACTTGGAGGACAAAGAGAAGCAAAGTATTTCTTGGTGTATTGTTGCTGGCGGTGGCTTGATTTGAGGCAATGTCTACTCATGTAAAAGTCTCCGAGTCTTCACCACACTAACAGGCTCATTCCTCTGTTATTCTGGTTTGGATTTAAATGATGCCATGCATGAAGGGGAGCTTCAGATTGCCTGGAGAGGTTTCTTGGTCTTCACCTGGAATATTGGCTGTCTGGTCAGGACCGAGTCTGCGAGACGTTTCACAGTCATCCAGACAGCATCAAGTCCATCGACATTGGAGGGTCTTTATCTAAATTCTGTTGGGCTTGGTCTTGAGGACGACACTGGCCTGTTCCAGAATCCTCCCTTTGCATATGGGGGATGCAGATGAACATTTGCTGATGGTTGAGGTTGTAGACAAGCTCGTCGAGCTGGTGGGTTTGGTTGCAAATGTTTTGTCACCCTGATAGGCACACTAACTGTTACCTTCAGTGAAGCGTCGGTGTTCTATTCTGCTTGTTATTTATATGCCTCAGTTTGTTGGGGTCTTTGGTAGATGACAAGCAGGACAGAACACCAACGCTTCACCGGCGGCCCACTGATGATGTAACCTAGCAGGGTGACAAAACATCTGCAGTCAAATACACCGGCTCGGTGAGCAAGTCTACAACCTCATCCACAACCTGAGCTACAAATCTTCGAAAGAAAATTTACTGATGGTGTTTCTTTAGTGCTTACGTCACTAAGAGACTGTTCAGATCTTTCTGCAGATCAGGAGGGTCGTGACGACAACTGCTCCGCACTAGGATTTACATTGATGGGGAGGTCCTCGTTCTTAAACACTTGCTGATATAGTTTGTAGAAAGGGGCAGCTGATCCGAGGTGGCTTTTTGAGAGAGTGATGACCATAGTGAGAGTTGTGCTCAACATATTCCAGAGCTTTCCCTTCGACAGGGAGGGCAAGTAGAAAATCTGGCTGACCAGGGACGGGTTGGCGGTAGAGCTGTATTTTGGAAACATTAATAGCAGCAGAGTTTTGTGTTTGCAGAACTCAGGAGGTTACAATGGCCTGTAAGTCTAGTGCAGACTGGGAAGTAACACAATCAGTCAATCTAGGCTAGTCGAGTTTAGTGGCATGAAGGTGACTGAAGGTAAAGAGTTTCCCATCTTGGTGGCATTCAATACTTTCATTTGAGCAGAGCTGATCTTCAGTAATATGAATCAGCAGAGGCAGATACATTGTAAACAGCTGTTATGTCAACCTCAAACAAGCTCAGATTTTGGAAGTGCCTTTTTGAGATCTTCACTCAGCCAGATGCAGTCGCATCAAACAAATGCAGGGTTGAGAAATTCCTTGGAAACCCACAACTTTGAGACACAATGGACAGAATGGAACAACTTATTGAGTCAATTGTATTGGTCAGACCACTAAAGACAATGGAGGTTCCTTGTGTTGACCTCAACACTGCCCCAGGGAAAGCTTCATCTGGAAGGGCTCACTGTGCCTCGAGGAGCATTTTCTCAGCCACAGGGAAGAAGTGATTCAGGAGAAAGAGAGCCTGGACTTCCCCTGCTTACATACAAGAGGGAAGTAAAATTTCAGAGCTGAAGATGATGGGAGTGGAGGGAACTCAATGTCTTCCTCTCTCTCATTACAGGAAGAAAAGAGCTCACAACGGAACAGAAAGAACCAAGATGGGCCTAGCATTCAGCTCTTCACCAGAGAGGAGAGGATCCTGACCTCTGATAAAAGGAAAATACTGCAGACATTCTACAACACTACCCAGGGCCCCATCATTAACTGTGCAAGTCCTGCCCTTGAAGATCCAACGACTCAAGCTTGACACCATCCAGGACAAAGCAGCCCACTTGCTTGGCACCACACCGTCAAACATTCACTCCCTCCACCACCGACGCTCAGTAGCAGCAGTGTGTACTATATACAAGATGCACTGCAGAAATTCACCAGGGCTGCGTAGATATATCTTCCAAACCCACAACCACTTCCATCAGGAACAACATGGGCAGCAAATACATGGAAACATCACCAGCTGCAAAATCCCCTTCAAGACACCAAACATCCTGACTTGGAAATATATTACCGTTCCTTCAGTGTCACTGGGTCAAAATCCTAGAATTCCCCCCCAAAAGGGCATTGTGTGTCTACCTACACAGCATATGGACTGCAGTGGTTAAAGAAGGCAGCTCATCAGCACCTTCCCTGAATTTTTGGAAGATTTTCAGAAAGTAGGTAAACAGAAATCTTTAACCATTTCTTGACCAACTGCAGACATATTTTCTAATGGGTGGTCATCATCATCATTGGCAGTCCCCTGCAGGCGAGGAGGACTCTGTTCTACTCCCACGGTGAGTCCATAGGTGCCTGTACAGACCAATGTGGTACTGTACACTCTAACACTTGGGACAGGTGGTGATCGTGGGAAAGGGTGGGTGGGGCATTGGTGTGACGGTGCACTCCTTTCGCTATTTTCACCTGGCTTCTGCTATCCCCTCACCCCCATCCCGAAGGCAAGTCTCAGGGTGCTCCACACCTTCCCGGATGCTCCTCCTCTACTTTGGACAGTCTTGGGCCAGCGATGCTCAGGTATTTCTGGGAATGTTGCACTTCACCGTTGAAGCCTCGGGATTATCACCGAAGCACTTCCTCTGCTCACCTGCCATTTGAAGCTGGGAGTAGAGCACCTGCTTGGGGAGTCTCATGTCAGTCATGTGGACAATGTGCCTAGTCCATTGTAGCAGATCAAAGGTGGTCAATGCCTTGATGCTGGG